CGATGGGCTGGTTTATGGAGAGAGCAAAGTAATAATACAGAAAGGAAATACCCATAACCTCAAGGGGGGTGGTGGGGCAGACGAGATTGATGGAAAGTGCAATTGTCTGGAGAAACGGCAACCCAGTAATGGAATACCTGGGGTGGGGGTGGTGCATGGATTGGAAGCAAGTTCTTTAGCTGGCTTTGGCTTTGTTTTCTCAAAGGAAGGTGAAGGGCATGGCAAGGATGGTTTTGATCCCTTGGGTTGGGCCCCAGGAATGGCTCCTCTTGCCAGAATCACTTATAAGGTAGATGGCCCAATTTCTCTCCAGAGTCCAACAGCAGGTAAATGCCCTTGGCCTGCCCTGTCTCAGGACATGGGGTTTATTTCAGCACGAGGGGCAAACAGCAGTCCAGGGGCTAGGACCATCCTCACCCTGCCAACACTTCGGTCTTGGAGAGGACTGACAATTGGGTTCAGCAGATTTTACAATACCCATCTGTCCACAGCTTCATGTTCGGGGTGTCGGTAGGGGATGTTAGGAGAACCTTAGGAGCACTGCTTCAGAAATCAGACAGAATTCATTTTGCCTCTTCTGATCTTACACCTGCTCTCTGGAGTACATGCTGGTTGAACTTCAAGAAGAGGGAGGGCCTACAGGAACTTTCTTTCTGAGCCTGTGCACCGTGGGCCTTCCTAGCAAAGCCCATCTGGTCTGGCTCCTAGGGAACAGCTTCAGCTGCAGCTGACTTTGCATCCCAGTTTAGATGAGAAATAACAGTACAATAGTCTATGGAGTATAAATTCTTGTCAGTGGATTTGTTTTTCCATGGAAGTTCACCTTTGTTTCCTATGGATCACTGTTATTAAGTGTGTGGGCCTGATGGGGGTTCAGGGGAGGCTATGGCAGAGCCTGGGGATTCCAGAGCCACTCAGGGACCAGAGGCCCTTCCTGCCTAGTAGACATGGGGTCATGGCCAGGTTAATGGCTGCCCTTGGGAAAGGCCATTCCACTGGGAAGCAAGAAGTCTGTCCCGACTTTGGGAGAAGGGCTGAGCACAGGAAGACTCACCCTACTTCTGCTTTCCTTGACTTCCTGTCTCTTTTCTTTTTGGTAGGTAGGATCTGGCAGTTGATCTAAAGACCCAGACTTGTTATCCCAATGCCATCATTAGTTGAAACAAAATCATTCCTTGTAACCGGAATATAGTTACTGTAAACAACATACGTTTATTGGGCATTCTGTTTCTAATAATTGTAATTATGCTAGAATACTTGCCATTAATATAATAACAACAATGATCGACCAGTTCTCTGTTCCAGACCAATAACTTCACCTGAATGCACTCTTTGTTCAGGGGGAAAAAAAAGAGGTAATTCAACATCCCTGGTGACAGTCAACAAAGCCAGTGTTGAAACTGGAAGACGCATGGATGAAAGCCTTCCTGGGGATAAAAGATGGTGCTGGAGAGCCGAAGAGCCACCTGGCAGACTCCCTCTTGGCTAACAAAAAGGCCCTGTCTGTGTCCCCACACTCAAAGGTTGAAAGGAAATGAAAACCCAGGGACTTCCAGAAGAATCTCTGGGCCTGGGCCTCACTCTCATCCTGTGGGGATGGGTCTGGGCCTGGGTGTCCCCTGAGGCTGAGGGGGAGTCCCCTGGTAGGTACAACAAGGAGACCACAGCCTGGACTTAACTTCATCCTGTAAGACCACTTCTGAGGCATGGACTCCTCCTTGGTGCTTTCCGGCTTATTTCCCCTTACAATTAAAGAACCTAAAAGATCATGTAGACCAATGGTCCCATTTTACTAATCTCTCAATGTAGACTACAGGTCTCTAACACACCTCGAAACCTCTCACAATGCCCTGCATATGGGAAATGCTCAGGAATTGGGTAATGTAGGACAAACGTTGACCCGCAGCGAAGCTTCAGGTACCATGCTATGAATAAGCTCTTCCCCTGGCAGGGAGAGGGGACACTTGTGTCTGGAAGCTTCTATAACATCACCTTTCAAATGTGTAATTTTCTTTGTTACCTCTTATTCTTGCTATAGCTCTTCCCAGGGACTAAAACATAGAAAACAAAACAACGACATAAAAAAAAAAAATCACCTTATTTCCATTAGAAGCCAGGGGCTTTCCTTTTAAGCTCTGAGCACAATGACCTCCTTCCACTGACCCAAATAGCTGGATCAGTCAATAGTCCACAAATATTTATCACTTCTTTTCCCTTCGGTACATTTCCCAGGATGCTGCTGCTACAACGCCCATCGTGAAGTGGTCAACTCCAGCTTCTCCACTACATTATACTCAAAATGGCCCTCATATTGAGGTGGGTAGAAGGCAACCTCCAAACTTGGACCAGAAACACGGCCTCAGAGCTTCCTTTTCTTAGAATAAAGAAACATCCAAAAGAGGGGGCCTCTGGCTGCAGTGGTCTGCCAGGCTCACCATAACACAGCTTGGGTGAAATGGAGAGTGTCTGAGGGTGGCTGTGGTAGGTTACTTCATCACCATGCTCCATTGGCCATGCTTCTTCAGGCCTTTTCCTTTCTTAGGGGCTCCGGAACCACATCCTATGAGGTGCTGTGACTCTCTGGCAGGCTTTGCAGCCCCAGAGGTAGATGGGGGGTTGTGCCTGGCTGGCAATCTGGGTGCTTAAAGACAGCGTTCTTCTGTAGGGATCTCTGAACTGCACTGGGAAACATGGTGGGCTCTTGTTTAATTCTCTTCTAGTTCTTTTTTCCTCTTTCTGAGCAGCAGATGCAAGCTGCTTTTATGTATTTAAAGACAGAAACTTGGGACAAGAGGAGCAAACAAGAAAGAAAAAGCAGAAATTTGAAAACCTCCTTCAAGGTAATTAAATGATTAGGCATCTTTGAAATCCACCAGATCGCTCAATTGTTTCTGCTTTCATCTAATTTATCCTTGGGCCTCTCCCCACATGAAACCTCTGCCAGATACACTGGTCCGGGAAGCTGGAGAGATGCGGAAAACCTCTTCATTTCTGTTCCCATCAAGTCATTTGCAGGTTCCCGAACAAAGTAAGAGGTTTCTTCCTGTGCCCTCAGCCCCTGGTCTTGGTGGGTGAAGCAGACCTTCTTCTCCTGACTGCATGCCCCAAGATAAAGGCTCAGGGTTTGAGGAAACTGTATAACCTTTTATCAGGGTCTTCATGTCAGTGGTGCGCCCCTCGGCTGTCAAACCCATGTCTGTCCTACGAGCTTTAGATCCATTTTCTCTTAAAGAACAGAACTGACACATACACATTAGCTTCACGTTCCTTTTGAAAGCCAACATGTATTCTCTTTCCTCCTTCTCCCCATAAAAGGGCAATCTAAGTGTGGGTCTCTTCTCGATTATGATCCAGAGTAGCCATTGCTAGCCAGAGACATACCCCATCATAGAGGGAGAGAGCTTTATGTTTAGAGACTTCCACAGCCTCTTCTTTCTCTTCTTTGTTCCTCTCTTGTTTCTTTCTTGTTTGTTCTTCGTGTCTTCCCTCTCAACTGGGATCATCCCCTCCCCCTGACAACCTCACCATTCCTTGCCTTTACCTCTAAAATGAATTGGTCTGTTCACTCTCTACCTGTAGAACTCCTGCTCAGTCATCAGAGCCTGGGAAAATAGGATTTGGAGCTCGGATTTTCTCAATGCCAGGCAGAGTCCAGTCATTTTCCCTTTAGCAGAGCCCCGTGCCACAGGTGTTGGTAGTAGAGCGTACATCACCCTGACCTGTCAGTCTCAGAGACAAGACAGATTCCCTCCTGCCATTAAAGGTTTGGCCAAACCCCTGGGGGTAGAAGTCTGGGACAGGGGCACTGGGATGAGCCTCTGTGCTCACCATTCCCCTCCTGTACCCTAAACAGCTTTTCTGCTTCCTGTCCCAGGACAATGCTCTCAAAGCCGTGGGGTTTGCCACATGGTCATGGCACATGTGTGGGTATGCGAAGGGGGCTGGAAGGTACACCCAAGGCTGGAGAAGGGGGTGAAGATGTTGGAAACTGTCCGAGTCCAGTGTTGGCCAAGAGAGCATGGGCCAGGCTGGCAGCTCTACATTGAGTGGGGTCTAACCAACACTGTATATACATAAATATCTTTCTAATCTCAATAACAACATTCTAAGGCAATCACTCTGTTCAGTCCTACTGACCTGAAAGTTGGAGTCACACAAGCACCATAATGGTTGGACAATAGCAGGACTTCTCCAAAGTAATTTTACACCCATTATCTTTAAGGTGCTTGCCCACAAACTTACAGCCTAAGAAAGGAAACGGCAGAGGCATAGAGTATTTCCATTAGAGTGATGAATAATGTTCAAGGATGAGAATAAAGATTAGGAGAGAATAAAAACACAGCTTCTTCACCATGAAGCCAACTTTAGTGATGCCCAAATGGGACTGTGCAGCAGAATCACCAAGTACTGAGCCAACCCCCAGACTTTCTCGTCCAGTTGGTCTGGGGTGGAGTGCTTGACTCTGAGTTTCCAACAAATTCACAGGTGATGCTGATGCCACTAGTTTGGGCATCACACTTTGAGAACTACCACTCTGGTTGGTAAGTTGACCATTCTTTCTTTCTTGTTTCTCTCTCCCTTTGACCCAACTTGTCCTATTTGATCTCAGATATGCTCTGTGGACAGTGCTCCGAGGGACAGCCAAGGAGTCTATAGACAGTCTTGCTGTGGACTTACAATTATTTCAATCACATACACACTCATCTGTCTGGAACTGTTCTAGAACTCACCTGGCATGTGGAGCGTCTTCATGGTTGGAGTGACCTGGAATGTACCTTTGCCTGTAGCTCAGCCTCCAGGACTGACTCAGAGCCCACCGGCCCCAGCACAGAGCTTTGCTTGTTTCCTGCTTTCATGAAGTGGTCCCTTAAGAGTTGCGGTTGGGGCAGAAGCAGGTGTCCCATGGGATTTGCCTGTTTTCTCTTCTTAAGGGAAGGCCTGCCCTCTGTGCCCCATGCTCAGAGCAAGCAGCACTCACCACTCTAGCTGCCAGGACCTACCTCAGGCAGCTTCACTCGGCCTTCCTGGAAGGAACAAGTCTTGGGGTCATGGGTACAGACGTGCCGGTATTTACACCAGTGGCAGCGGTATGGGCTCTCAACACAGGACAGGCACCTGAGCACAGAGGAGGAAGAGGCACAAATCACAGAACCTGGATGAACCCAAAGCAGAGGGCCTATGACTCCTGGGTCTAGTAAAATATCTTTTAACACTAAGAGAAATCACCTTCAAACCCTCATGAAGGGCAAATCTGATACAAATCTGACCCTTTTTGCACCAATTTCTCAGGATGCCCAGAATTTGTGGCCTCCCCCCACCCCCAACTCAGGTGGTTGAAAACCTTAATCTTTAAGGGCCTAATCAACCACTCTCCATCTCCACAGGACGCTGACCTCTTCTGTTGAATTGGGGGGCAATGAGGTCTGAAGTAGGGGGTTTCATTCAGAGGGCCCATATAAGTTAGTGAAAAGAAAGAAACTGACTTTTAATTCAAATTGACTCTAGGGTCTCACTGTCAGGGACTCACATGGTCCCACCTGGGCAGAGGAAGGGCCTGAGGCTTCTCTCTCAGTGCAGTGGGTCCCTGTACAGTTGGCGACCCTGCTTCTACACTTCACCCCCAAGACACAAAGACAACTTTAGAAGAGATCCTTCCTGCCTAAAAACCCAGCATGGTTCCCATCTTCCAGAGGGCGAAACCCAAATGGCTTGCCATGCAGTCTAAGCCCCTCAGGATGTCCAGGTCCACTGTCTCCACATGTATTTGGCATTTCTGCCACGAACAGGCTATGCTCTCCCCACGCTCTCCTCCTACCTGGAGTACTGCTTTCCCTTCGTTCACCTGGCCATCTCCTCTTCCTTCTTTGACCAACAGAGAGTTGGTCACACTGGGCCCTTTTCCCATTAATCACTTTGTTTATGTCTCTGGGGGCAGTACTGGCCTTGTTGTACCATATTTTACTTATTCACTGTCCAGTTCATTCACTAGTCCACAAGGCCAGGACTCTGGGAAGCAGAGACTGAGTCTTTGAGTCTTATTAATTGTTGATCCTTCCTGTCTAATGAGTGACACATTGCCCTGCACAAAGTAGATGCTTAAAATTACTTTGTGGACTCCATGGGAACTTCACACATGATTTCATCTGTCTACACTCTGCTTTCCTAGAGGGGCAAAAGGGGAGCGAGGGATCAGGCCACCAAGTGGTAGAGCCACGGGCAGCTCCATGACAAGAAGCGGGAAGAGAATTCTGGCATTGAGGCAACTTGTTTTTGGCTGGGAGGCCTGACTACCTCTTATTGGGAGCCCCATAGAGAGCCAAGCTCTGGATTCACAGCTGCCATAACCAGATAGGTAGACAAACATTCCACCGGCCTAAAGTCCCCAAATGTCTTGGGTTATGTTAACTAGCTTGTCCTACAGGGAGAGGAAAACAGGATAGCCTTTTAAAACAAGCAGGGCTTTATGGTTTTCAAACTGTGCTCTATGGAACCCTGGGGGCTCCATGGAGCTTCTTTGGAGACGAGGAGATGTATGGGATTCCAAGACAGAGGGGTTCCAGAAGCCCTCAACCCTCAACCAGAGTAGCTCCTACTTTCATCTGTCTTGAATATTGGGCTTCCACATCTAATTCTGGCTGGAGAAAGGTTTCTATGATAAAAAAAAAAAAAAAAAAGAAGGCTTGGACCTTCTCAGTCTGGTCCAGCTCCATCATTTTACAGAGGAAATAATAATAAAATAACAGCAAAAACATGAGCAGCGCCTGGACAGTGGCTCTAACTGCTGTGCTTGTAATGGCTCTTCTAGTCTTCACAGGTGTCTTGTGGGCCAAGCTGGGTTGATGTGCAGGGGCAGCAACCAGGGGTGTCCCAGCCAACCACAGCTCTGCCTGGAAGTGCCCTTGCCATGTCAGAGGTGGAATATGTGGGTGACAGTCCTGGAAGGAGGACTATTATTTCCCCACTGACAGAGGACACTGGGACACAGAATGGTTAAGTTTCCGGCTGGTCTGACTCGAGAGCCCGAGACTCTGTCCTCTGTGCCTTCCCTTGGGAAATGGACGATTCAGTCAAACAGGGCCAGGGCCAGAGCTAGGGCCGGAGTAAGACTTCCCAGGCCAGAGCCTGCCAGCATGGACCTTTCTGCCCTGCTCTGACTCTCCACAGCCTGAGTCCTGACCCAGCAGCCCTCAGGGCACTGGGGAGAGCTGAGCATTCAAGGTTTTGTTGGACCACCTGCCCTGGCCTGGACGTACGTGGGGCTTCTCTCCCTCCTGACACCCCTCCTCTCACCCAGGGTGCTAGCTGCTCTGTTGTTCAGGTGAGGGACACCCTCCTCCTCAACAGATGGTGGGAACTGAATCAGGCGAGGCAGATTGATGCCAGAGATGTATAGGTCAGGGATTTGGAGATCCCCACCCTACAAGTTCTTACTCTTCTCATTCCAGCTCTGCTTTTCCTATTAACCCTGTGGGTGCCATGGAAGGGGTCTGTTTCATCCTCCTCCTTATAGGGCTTCTTGCAAACAGTGCCAGCATCTTCTATCGCTGGATGATCACGGACCCCAGGAACAGGGAGTTGAGTGAGGCTGGGAGGCACTTACGAATTGTGGACGCTGCAGTTGTAGAAGACAAAGCTGGTGCTGGCAAAGGTCATGCCCGTCTCCTTCGACTTGAGCTGCAGCTGGACGACATGGTGGTCCCCTGGGGTGCAGAGCCAACCACGAGGTCAGGGAAAAGGCCAGGATCCCATGTGAGGGTCCTACTGAGAGTGATGTGCACTGGGAAAGGGGAGTCGCTCCCCTAACAGGACTCTGATTCAGGGGGGCCCAGTCCCAGGACAGCCCTGAGAACATCTGCAGAGGGTGCTTCTGGTCTATTCTTCCTTCCACACTGTGTTCCTGGCACCCACCCCTCATCTGCTCACCAGCTCTCATGTGCACATACCCTGACAGGCTTGCATGCATGGTGTCCACACCAGATTCACAGAATTATAAACATACACATTGATTAGCTACCAGGACAAACATGTAGACGCTTTGTAACATTGCCACAAGCCACACAAGAGATTTTGCATGTATGTGCATGTATGTGCACACACGACTTCCTTCCCCATCTCGGTAAGGAGACACCCTGGTCTTACACCCCCTCCTCTGGTGGGCTCAGGGCTCCGTTCAGGCGGGTGTCCCTGGAACCCTCAGCTGGCGCCAGGGAGGAGCTGGAAGCCCATGTTTAATTCACAGCCCTGACCCCAGGCCCCCACTTCCAGCCTTGTTCTGTGCCTTCCCCGAGAGCCTCATTAATCAATCAGCTTGGAACAAATGTGACAAGCCCAAATGGGAGGGCCAACATGGAATCAATCTGCCCAGGCTGGGCCTGTCCCTCACCGGCATTGGGCCTCTGTCCACCCCTGTTCCTCCCAGTGCAGCTGGCCATGAATGTGCAGCTCTGGGGAGGCAGGGCAGGGTGGGGATGGGAGGCAGTGGTTTGAGATCAGTGACCCAGCAGTTCAGGCAGGGGACAGAGCCATAAGAGCCCTGACATAGGCACCCCCCGGCCATGCTCCTGACCAGCTGCCCCTCCCGCATTGCCCCTCCACACCACCCTCTCCTGCTCCAGGACAGTCTCTAAACTCAGCTGGCACATTCTGATGCTGTGGCCTTGCCTCTCTCCGTGCTCTCTGCAGCTGCTCCTACCTAGGATGAGGCCGACTCCAGGATGCTCACCTGGTTTCAACAGTCATTTCTGAGAGCAGCAAAAAGACACTTCATCCTCCTGTTCTGTATCATACCCACCAAAGCACCCCCTTCCTCTGACTCTCCCCTGCCAGTGGGCTTCCTCCGCGCACCCCCCCCCCACGCCTGTCTTGAGTTCTCATCAGGCCAGGAGGAAAGACATGCCACCCAGCTTTGCCTCTGGGGAACACTCACCATTCTCTGTGATTATTCGGGGCACCTCCTTGGCTGCTGGGGAGTAGCACTGGATCTGATTGCCTACCACCAGCCCATCCATCTCTGACAGGTCCTCAAAGGTGCAGTTGACTCCAGCTGACAGCTCCGGGACATTGTATGTCTCTAGGACCAGCTGCGAACAGCCCCGGCAAGGGGAGAGAGAGGAAGAGAGTGAAGTGGGGCACGGAAGGGTATGTAATAAAAGGAGAAAGAGGGATAGCAAGAGAGATCAGAGAGAAAGAAAAGAGAGAAAACTGGAGGTGATATTAACATAAAGAAAGCCGCGATTGATCACAAGACCAGAGGTGGTGGGAGGTAAAGAGACAGACACAGAGGAGACTTCGTTACATATGAATGGATTTGGCCCAGCAAATGGGAGGGCTTAGGGGATTTGTTTGTAGAAAGAAAGGTGGGCAGGACTGAGGTACTGCTGGCCAAGCTCCTCTTCCATCATCCCCTGTTTTGGAAAAACGGCAAACCAACCGCCAAGTGCCCAGTGCGTGAACATGGGCGATATCCTGCCCCTTTCTTCCTCTGCACATGAATCCTTCCCATCTTGCAGACAAAGATATAGTTCTCATCATCCTCCCTCTCTTGGTCACCCATTCAATCATTTTTGCTGTCACACTTTCCCCTATCTTTCCATCCATTATGCAGAGGGCCTTGCTCCAGTATTCCTGTGCGTGTCCCCCTCTTCCATCTCCAGGGACACATTCTTTAAAGCTGCTCTCGAGCAGCTTTGCTGGTCAGGCTTGGCCCAGTTCTTAAGGACAATGGGGGGCTTTGGTGGGGAGAGGGTTCTCCCATGACCCTGGACCCGGATCCCACTGCCCTTACCAGGACATTGTACTGGGACACAGAGATGTTGCTGGGATGGACAGTCAGCCGGACACACTGCTTCATCTCAGAGGCAAACCTGCGGGGCTCTCTGGACCTCTCACAGCGCTCCTTCCGGGTGCACCTGGGAGGGACGAACAATGAGTGACTTAGGAGAAGGCCACTTGCTCCAGTGAGGGGCTGGCATGGAGGTCAGGCACTGCCAGTGGCTCCCAGGACATGTTCAAACTCGATGTGTCCAGAACTGCCCTCTTTGCCTCCTTCCTCCAGCCTGTTCCTCTCCCACCGTGCCTGAATGTGAAAAAGATGGTTATTCTAATCACTTGTTGCCAAATGCAGAAACTTGGGGGTCATCCTAAAGACCCCTCACCTACTCCTCATTAACCTAAAGAGCTGCAAAGTCCTGCTATTCTACCTCCCCATCCATCCTCAGCCCTGTAACTCTCCTCCCCTCATAGGCAAACTGAGACTTATTCTCACCCCATATACAAAATACTCTTTCCGATTTCCTTGCCTTGTGCTGGCCACTTCTCTCTGGACCACCTTCTTCCCACACTTCCCCTGTCCAGCTTCTACCTACCCTCCAGATGTGGTTCAACCATTGTGCATCTGCAATCTCTCCCTGCTACCACCTGAGGCAGAGTTCAGAGCATTTGGGGGTTTCCTATAGTCTAGAAAGTCTTTGATTGTATTATAATTATTGGGTTAAGTGCAGCCTCTCCTACCAGGTGTGAGCTCAAAAGAAGAAATGATGCCTGACTTATTTTGGAATCCCCTGTATACCTCATGTCCAGCAGCCAGAGGACAAATGTAGGTGGGTGGGAGGGAGGGAAGGAAGGATCAAAAGAGCCGAGTGTAGCAGTTCAAAGCATGCTTTGGAGCCAGACCGCCTTGGATGGGAATCCCAGCTCCCTGGCCCAGGGTTACCGTTAGAGAAGCGGTATTATTATTGCTTAGCGTCCTGTGTTGTTCAAAGTACACTGCGTCACGGGTAGACTACATCCAGGGTGATCTGGGATCTTACAGTCTTCACTGATGGAGTTTGTGAAACATGCACATAAGAATCATGTACCTTCACCCAAATGTGCACACCCCACATGGGGGAAGATGCTTAAACTCTCCGCCAGGGCCAGGGCATCCTTGCCTTACAGTGGGAGTTCACCGCATGGAGGTATCTGAGCTTTGGGGAACAGGCTTTTATTTTTTTTTTTAAATTTTTTTTTTCAACGTTTTTATTTATTTATGGGACAGACAGAGACAGAGCATGAACGGGGGAGGGGCAGAGAGAGAGAGGGAGACACAGAATCGGAAACAGGCTCCAGGCTCCAAGCCATCAGCCCAGAGCCTGACGGACCGTGAGATCATGACCTGGCTGAAGTCGGACGCTTAACCGACTGCGCCACCCAGGCGCCCCAGGGGAACAGGCTTTTAATGCAGATCTGATAAGCCATGTGAATGTGGACCTTTGCTGAGCGGCCATGATCTGGAAGCTGTGGACTCCTGATTCTGCTGCAGGGTAAGGGAAAGCAGGGTCCTTAGAGGGACAAGCTGAGGTAAGCTGGGGCAGCAGGGAGATGGTGCCTGAGTCATCAGGAAGAATGCCACAGGGAAGGAAGACAGCTTTGGCTTCTGTGGGAGGGACAGCCTAACAGTGGCGAGTCTGGGGGGAGAACTTAGCAAATGAAGAAGTCACTGAAGGCATGGACTAAAGGAAGAAGGGGAGACGCAGGGACAAAAATGATGAGTGCAGAGTAAATTGGACATGTAACGTGAAAGTGAAAAACAATTCTAAGTAATACAATCATGGCTACTAGTCACTGAGCGTTTCTTGGGCTCCCTGGTAAGAGGCTTGCGGTTTATGTCAAAGTCTCCCAACAATGCTGCAAGGCAGGTACCATTTAAAAACCCATTTTATAGACCAGGAAACTGCAGGAAGGGTAGGTAACTTGCCCGAGGTCACCAGCTCAACAGAGAGAGCCAGTATTTGAACACAGATGAACCCTGGAGCCTCTGCCGTGCTGTACCTCCCTGAAGCTTTGAGACTGAGGAGGGAAGGACAGACCCCCTCTTGCTGCAGACTAAATCCATTTCCCTGCCATCTTGATGTTCGATTCATGTTTCTTAAGGCAATTTCAAAATTTCCCTTCAAGCTTTGTCTCTAAGCTAATCACTTTTTTTTTTTTTTCTTCTTGCCTGCCACTGGGAAGCACTTTGAATATTATTGCAACTTGTGAATTCTCCAGGATCCTTCTAGGAAACCCAAGAGTGAAGGGTCAGACATGAATGTGGTCACCTCCCTGGCACTCCCTGCCTGCTCTAGCCGACCATGGCAACAAGGGCGTCTGCCTAAAAGTCTTGGAAGTTAATTTACCAGGCTAGCTCCTCTGTGAGGACTTCATTACCTCCAGCCATTAAGCTAATGTTATGGACTTTTCCAGGGTGTCTGCACTGACATCGCTATTAATAGTGTTATTACTCCCATTAACAGCAGACCCAGAGAGCTGGTACAGGCTTAAATTATTCACTGACTCCCCAACTTTGAAGTTCGTATTTCCAACAGCAATCAGTAGGTCTGAAAAATGTCTTTGATCAAATTATGAAGGGAGAAAAATGAACCTGCACCCAGGCCAAACCTTACCTGGAGTTACTAAATACAGACTCAGATGGAGAAGAGAGGACTCTACTTCTCTTGCAGGTGTACAAAGGTACTTGGTTGGGGGGGAGGGTCTCAAGATGAGGCACACCTGCACGGTTTGCTGCTTCCAAAGTCGGTGTGGCTGCATCCTGCCATGGCTCCCCAAATTTGAGAGCCCCAAAACCACATACTCGTTATCCCCCTGACCCCCAATTTAGGTCTTACCAGGGAAGCCACCTGTAGCTTATAATTTCAAACATCCCATCTAACTGTGTAATCTTGGGGAAATAACTTAACCTCTTCGTGCCTCAATGTTCTCTTCTACAAAATGGGGACAAAACAGTATCTAACAAATAGGGTTATTATGGAGAATTCAATGAAGTTATGCATGTAAAACATTTAGAACAGGGCATAGCTCGTACGCGATAAGCCATCAGTACACGTCCACTAGCACTGTGACCCCATCAATGCTCTGCCTTCCTCATGCAAGCTCTCTAAAACACAGCTGACACAGAAGCACAGATTTTCCAGACTGGTCCATGGGGCAAACCAGAGACAAAAAGACAGAGATGGCTCCAGCAGTTTTCCTCCTAATGAGGGACGGGGAGCCCCAGAGACCAGGAGGGAGGAAAGAGGGAAAGAGTGGTCTGGCTCGCTTGGAGTTCTGCTTTCTCAGTAGCTGTCAGAGGGTATTGAGTACTCAGCTCTGTTAGTGGAAAGTCAAGTTTAAGGTCAGTGTCAGGGATGTTTTGACATTTCTACTACCCCTCAGGGCCCATGAGGGCCGAGGCTGCAAATGCCCCAAAACACAGACAGCTGACCTTAGATGTGAGAGGGTAATGGAGGGGGAAGGATGGATTCCTTCAGAGTCCTTATGGGGAATGTCAGGGTAATGGCCTCCTACTCTTCTAGGACTGTGATTTCTCATTAGCCCAGGCAAGAGTTGGGAAGTGTGCAAAGGATTAAGTCATGACTTTTGGGGGTAGCGGGGTGGTGGCTTGTTTCTTTCAAAAGGGCTCCAGGTACTTCCTATGGCATTTCCTTCAACTCCACTGTGGGAGGACCCTGGAGCTGGAGGAAGGACCTGCTTCATCCGTTTGCCAGGCAGGACTCAAAAAGCGCATGCTAGGTGACTTGGAGTCTTCAGACAGTCATCCATGGGGCTGCCATCACCACGCCCTTTCACAACACAGATCTGCATGTGGCCAGCAGGAAGCGGGCCCCCGAGAAGACAGCTCAGGCCCCCAGAATTGGAGTCTGGCTCTACTAACTTCGCCTTACGCCCCTTCCGCATTCCACTTTCTCTGCAGTTGGGCCCTCCAGCCCCAGTTCAGAGGTGCTGAAAGGCCATGGGGACAGAGGCCTGGCCCTTGGAGGGGTTATTATTCAAGCCAGTGGTTCCAATGAGATTATCCTCTCTAATGAAGCAGCTACCTCCGCCCTCCCCTAAGCCTGAACTTTCGCTGCTGGAGAATTCCCAGCCAAGTGGAAAATTGGAAAAGAGAAGAACAGAGAAAGGAAGGGGGTGAGGGAGAGGGAAGAGGTGGTGATTAAGTTCTTTAGAAATTAATTCCTAAGGACAGCGATAGAAATATTAACGTCCAGTGCCACCAACTGGGTGAGCAAATTTCAATTTGGAACTGGGGCTGGTGGGGTCTGGGTGAGGTGGGGTCTGGGTGAGTCTCCAGTTTGGGGGGTAGGTGCTGGTCTGTCCCCTGGCCCTCCAGCAGGGGCCCACCCGCTTTGTCTCGCAGAATGTCTCCTGACTTCTCTCCATAGCTGACCCCCTCCCCCATCCTTAAACATCTCGCATTGGTCATGGCCTGGGCTTAAGTGTACCCTTGAGGGGAGCTGGGTTTAGAACATGAGGAGGTTGAAAAAACTGAGATGGGGTTAGGGTTTCCCAAATGAGCTTTCCAGAAAAGTTAAGAGGAATGCTTACTAGCAGGGGCTCTTAGGTCACTGTATCCACATCTGGGAACCCTGATGAGGGAAGAAACTGGGTTTGCCAATACCGTTGGCCTTGCCCTCTTTAGGAAAGCCCACAGAAATGGGAAGACACATCTGTGCAGCCTAGAGGAAGGTGAGTTACAGAATGAAGGGACCCTTTCCAGGCAGATGAGTGTGCAAGAGGTTTCTTACACAAAGGGTGTGGATCAGGTGATCCCTGCAGTGTCACAATTCTAGGATCTGGTGACTAACACCATGGTCTTGACCTAAGGATTTAGGCTGTTCTTAGAGATGTCCCCTTTGCCATCAGCTGCTGAACTGGCAACTGTACTCACCGCCCTTTGCCTTCTCTAAGGCTCCAAAGCCAACCTAAGCAGCAGATGTGGGGTACCACGCCTCCTGGGTCTCACTCTCCAAAACAGGAGGAAGGCACAGGACTTAAAGGCACCAGCAGGTTCAGAGCCCAGAGGAGGCCCAAGAGCCGTTGTGGGCTTATGTGGTCCACATGGTCCTGGCCCACCACCATAGGCTGCACAGAG